CTCAGCCTCCCAAGTAGCTGGGACCACAGGCACCCACCACAATGCCTGGCTATTTTTTGGTTGCAGCCGTCATTGTTGTTTGGTAGGCCCAGGCTGGATTCAAACCCGCCACCTTAGGTGTATGTGGCTGGCGCCTTAGCCGCTTGAGCCACAGGCGCCAAGCCAAGCTGTCCTTTCAAGCTGAAAAAGTTTTATGGTGGAAGTGACTTCTCCATAGAGGTCTCTACAGGGGCTTCCTGAGGCCAGTTCCCAGGTGACTTGAGGAGGTCACTGCCCTTTCTGTGCCTCAGTGTCCTCTGTGGTCCCTTCCATTTGTATAGTGTGCAAGCCAGTGCAGCACAGGAATTCTAGGCTGGACATCGCAGCGATGGCATCGGAACACAGCTGGGCCAGTGGGCAACTTGAAGGAAGCAAATGGTATGCATGTGGCTCTTATAAATGGGGCAAGAAAGGGGCAGGAAGTCAGAGTGGTCCTCTGTACTTTGCCATTTCTTAACACATGACCAGTTAGCACAAGAATAAAACCCCAAAATTCTTTTTTTTAGTTTTGCTTTAATTAAATCCTTACTGGGGTTATAACTGCCTCTGCACTGTCTGGGCACAGGCTCCCCTTTTCTCTCCCTGGTTATATCTAGAGTCATTTCCTACAGGGCCTGGAGCCACCTTCTCTGGCTTCACCTTTAGAACCCGAGAGAGCAGAGCCTTGGAGTTCCAGGCCCAAGTTCTGCCCACTGACCTGTGGCAAAGGCTTCCCACTGGGCTGGGAGAACAGTCATTGAGTGACTTTAGGATTAAGCTTAGAGTGTTTGGTAAGAAAACAATTCACTCCTCTTGTGTAGGGGCCCAGGGAAAAGACACAACTCCAGTAGTGAGGAGGGGAGGAAGATAAAGATGGGCAGGTAAGAACCAAATATATTTTTATTTTTTGAGACAGGGTCTTGCTCTGTTACCCTGGCTGGAGTACAGTGGCATGATTGTAGTTCATTGCAGCTTTAAACTCCTGGGTTCAAGTTATCTTACTGCTTCAGGCTTCTGAATAGCCGGGACTACAGATGTGTACCACCAAGTCCAGCTGATTTTTTTTTTTTTTGTGAGACAGAGTTTTACTTTGTTGCCCTCAGTAGAGTGCTGTGGCATCACAGCTCACAGCAACCTCAAACTCTTGGGCTTAAGCGATTCTTCTGTCTCAGCCTCCCAAGTAGCTGGGACTACAGGTGCCTGCCACAATGCCCAGCTATTTTTCTGTTGCAGTTTGGCTGGGGCCGGGTTCGAATCTGCCACCCTTGGTATGTGGGGCCGGTGCCCTACTCACTGAGCCAGGTGGCTCAGGGTGCCACCTAATTCTGGCTTAACTTCTACTAGACTCCCTAAGCAGCTGAGCTAAGAGGATTCGCTCTTGAATTTGACTTAACTAGTGTCTCCAGCCTGCCCAAGTCCCTGAGCTCCAGGCCTGCACTACTGTTCATCTCTGCTCATGGACCCTTGGGCATCCCAAGGCACCTATGACAGGCATGCTGTCAGCTTCCACCCTGGGCAATGCCTCAGAGCAGCTCTCCCTCTCTCCAGTACTACATCCAAGGAATCCCTAACTCCCATTAATTAGCTTTTAAAAGTTTTCTGGGATCTACTCCATGTTTTTCAGTCCTAGTAGCACATCCCTGGTCCTCTGCTGAATCTGGATAAGAAATTTAACTTTTTTTTTTTTTTTCTGAGACACAGTCTCACTTTGTCATCCATGGTAGAGTGCCATGGCATCACAGCTCACAGGGACTTCTTCCTCCTGAGTAGCTGGGACTATAGGCACCTGCCACTACACCTGGCTAGTTTTTCTATTATTAGTAGAGGCAGGATCTCATTCCTGCTTAGGCTGGTCTTGAACTCCTGAGCTCAAGCAATCCACTGGTCTTGGCCTCCCATAGTGCTAGGATTATAGTCATGAGTCACCATGCCCTGGTAGAAATTTAATATATTGAAATGCAGTTCTGATAAAGTTGTCCTGCTTCCCAGTGGCTTCCAGTAGAATCTGGGCATCCTTCTCACACTTGCAAGGGCCTGGGATGTCCACCTTCTCTTGGGTCCATCAGCCCACAGGCTCTTCTCACTACTCACATGCCTGTCTCCCTTTCATCTCTCAGCTGTCAATTCAGTACTGTGTCTTTTGTCCTTCTGGAGACCCTCCTCAGCACCTCTGCTGAGTTCAGTTTCCTTTGGTTTATGACAGTTGTTTACAATCTCCTGGAACATTTGTTAAAATGAAGATTGCTGGGCCCCTGTTGCTGGAGTTCCTGATTCAGTAGGTTTAGGGTGGGTCTGTGAATTTGCATTTTACTAAATTCGCAGATGCTACTGACTCTACCCAGGGCAACAGAGTAAGGCTCTGTCCCTAAATAAATAAATTATTAATTTTTTTTTTTTTTTGAGACAGAGCCTCAAGCTGTCGCCCTGGGTAGAGTACCATGGCATCACAGCTCACAGCAACCTC